ACGCTGAGATGCAGCCCCGCAGGGGGGTGAAAGGCACAGGCAGAGTCTCCGCAGGTCCTGGACTTGTGCCCAGGTAAATGAGCCGGCACCGCCGTGGGGACTGACCATGCCGCCTGCACCGATATCGTGAGGGCCCTTCCGTGATGACCGGCCCCGCTAAGGTGGGGCAGGATCTATAAACACACGATGTCAGCGTCCCTCCTCGCTGCGTCCGAGGGCTGCGGAAACCGGGGTCTTCATACTGTGGCCATTAGACCAGCAGAGGCGACGTTACACCATCATAAATGCACTCAGTGCGATCAGAGCGACCTCCCCAGCAGTCGGTCTAACCGACCCACCTCGGCAGCACCCAAGACCTCTGCTTTCCCTGCTGTCAAAGGGCGGAAGCAAGCCGGCCCTCTCCTGTGTGGGCGAGCGACCCCCGCCAGTGCCCCGAGTTATAGCCCCCGCCCCTTAGCCAAGCGTTCGTCTCCTGTATTTACCCAGCCTGAGTCCTGCTTCTCCTGCATTTACCCCATCTCGGTCCTTCATCACCCAGTTTCTCTCTCCCTCGGGTCATTCATCCACACACAAATGTGCCATCGTGTATCTCCCAGCTTTCAAAAACATTCCCTTGACCTCATACGACTCAGTGTCCCGTTCTCCTGTTTGTCTCGACAGTGAAACTCGGAAGAGTCTCGGTCTATATTCTGTTCCACTTGCTCACGTCCAAGTCTCTTCAGAACCTCCTCTGAAGAGAGGTCACGTATGAAGTGACCCTTCTTATCCTGGTCACTGTGACTTCCATGTGCCAAGCCCAAGGGAACGTTCTCTACCCTCATCTCATTAGATGAGAACAAAAGAGTCTGGTCCAGATACAGAGACCAGAGACAGCGATGACTTAGACCAAGTTCAAGGTTGCTTTGCTTCTGCTTACTGCCGAGTATTTCAGCAAGCAGCGGAAAGGATCCACGGGCTAAGAGCGCAAGTCCCTGCATGGACGCTGCTTCCCAGCCCCACCCCAGCTCCTCACGGAGGAGAACTTGAAGTGTGAAGGTGAACACAGCCTTTGGGGACTGGGAAGACCACCAAACCGGAAAGACAACTGCGGCCACCCTGCCTTTTCTGCCACGAGGCCGGATGTACCGCTTCAGGACAGTGGAAGAGAAATCTCGCCGTCCCAGTTACCAGCCCTGGGTTCCAGTTCTCACTGTGTCACTGGGCTGCCTCACAGTGTCTGAGAGGTAGTAGACGCAGCCTTGACCTTCCCAGTCCCCCTCCTGGATCTCTCTGCAGCAGTGGACATGGCCTATCACTATGTCCTTCTTGAGACCCTCTTCTCCTGGTCTCTGGATGACCATGTGGCTCTCTACACCCCCTCAGTCTCCCCTGCTTTTCTTTCCCCTCCCTTCACCACGGCTATCTCCTCGGGCCTCCTTGTCTTCTCTGTCTGCATGGGTCTCCCCCATGATGTCAACTCGGGAATCAGACACTATCTGAATTAGTTCCCCACCCATCACCACAAACTGATGGCAGCAGGAACTCTCTGTCTCGCCGAGCTGGAGGCGGAAGTCTGAGGTGCGGGTGTCCACAGGGCCCACCGCTCCCTCCAAAGCCCCTGGAGCAGGGTCCTTCCCGGCCTCTTCCACCTTCCAGGGGCTCCTGCCTACTTCCTGGGTGGTGGCAGCTGCGCTCTGATTTCCACCGCATTTCCCACGGCCCTGCCTAGGCATCGCTCCCTGTCTCTTTCCTCTAACAAAGACAGGCCTTGGGATTCTAAGATCCTCCCTAAGTCCAGGGTGATCCCACTTCAAGATTCTTACTTCCATCTGCAAAGGCCCTGTCTCCAAATAAGAACAGGTTCACAGGTGTGGCAGTGGGGCCGGGGGGCAGGGGAGCACGGGGACAGGCCTTAGACACAGCTTTCTGGGAGACACCCTTCAATCACTCTCCACCTCCAGACTGACAGCTCCCAGACTCACCACTCCAGCTTGAAACTCTCCCTCGAACGCCCTCTCTAACATCACTACTAATAAACACTTCAAATTTTACATTTCCAAAATAAGACTCTTTGTTACTCCCCAGACATTTTCTTCACCTAACATGCCTAATCGCAGTAAGTAACGTTACCATTTAACCAGTTCCTCCCACCAAAACTCTGAGACACCGCTCACTTCTTGCTGTTACCTGCAGCCAACCACCGGCACCCGCGGGCTCCACTTTCAAAGTGCATCTGGGCCTGACCGCGTCCCCCCCGGCCCACTGCTCTCTTACTCCAGGTCCCATCGATGTCCCCACCTGGACCTGTTCGCAGGCACACCTGACGGCTCTGCCCATTTCTACACAGGCCCCCCTTTTGGTCCCTTCTCACAGCAGGCAGACTGCCCTACGAAAACACACATCGGATCTTCTCTCTCTACGCTCAAAGCCGTCTGGTAGTTTCTCACGACACTTTGAATGAAATGCACTCTTTGTCACGGCCTAGAAAAGCCCACAGCATCTGGGGCCGGCCAACCCCTCTGACAGCAGAACCCGCGCCCCCTCCCTCTCACTGAGCTCCATCCTCAGTGGCCTCCCTGCTGTCCCCGAACCTGTCAGGCCAGGTCCACACCTGGTCCCTTGTGCCTGCTGCTCCCTTGGCCTGGCAGGCTCCACCTCCAAAACTGACAGGGCCCCCCATTGCGCAGTTCCCTGCTTGCATGCTGCGCTCACAGAGCACGGTCCACAGTAGCATCCCCTCCCACTCGCTCTCCCTTCGCCCTGGTGGGATGTTCTGTCTCCACCTGACGTTGTACAAACCTGACCTCACCATCATCACTTACCTGTCATCTGTCTGGTCCCCTCATTCGAATATGAGCTCCAGGGGGCCGACCGTTTGTTTTGTTCAGCACGGCTTTCATTCATTCCCCCCAGAACGGGGCTGCCACGCTGTGCCTGCTCGTTAACTATCTGTCAGGTAGGTGAACAAGCAGCTCCAATGGTCTTTAAGTCAGTCGGAGTGCCGTGGCCATATTAACAACTGATATGAAAAGTGCGATCGCATGAAGCCAGGTGAAGATCACTGTTGCTGAGCGCCTTTAGGAAATCGTGAAGGAGTGCTCACCTGACAATATAAACACGGACTCTTCCAAATCAGTCCTTTTCGAATAATAACGTACGTATCTTCTAAAATATTCATTTTTAAAAGCTCTCCTTTTGAATATCATTATGCAAACAATTTAATACTAACTTATCAACATGAACTTCCTCCCCAAGCATATATTTAAATACACCCAAAGGTGAAAATGGCCTTCACTCAGCACAAAGGAGCTGCTGCCTAAAATAGGCCACCTCTCAGAAGACTATGTAATTATGTACCTTGGTGGATCAGATTATAATTCAGGTACCCAGAATAAAAAATGGTCCTCTCTTATCTAAATAGGTCATTCTCGCTCAGCAAGGACAAAACTTCAGGGGAGACAGACGTCAAGTGCAGAGAACGGGCCCCTGGCACAGCCACCAAATTAACTGCGAAGGCCAACAGTGCAGCCGACGTCATGACCAGAGATCCCTCGTGACCCCAATTCGAACGTCTTCCGAATGAAAACTTCCTGATGATTAAAGCTGCACGAGACCAGAATGAGGCATGATAAAATGGCAGAACCAGAGCCTCTAACAAAGGCCATTTCTCCAGAAAAGCAGTAAGAACACAGGCAAAAGTCGTCAAAGTGAACTTTTTCAGAACTCTGGAAATCAACCCAAGGCTGACGACAAACTCAAAGGTTGTTTATTGAACAAAACTGGCTGAATCCCGGCAAGACCAGTGAAATTTGTGGTGTCGGAACTTTCCGGATTCCCATCCCCCCACAATCGCAGGGGAATCCAGCAGCGAGCCAATCACCCTGCCAAATCATCAGCGAATCCCACTCAGGCCCACACAGGGCGCCCCTCCGCTTGTCCGTGCTCTGCTCTTACTCCGAATGTGCAGCGAAAGAGCACTAATCATTCCACCAAGGTCTCTGGGACCAAACACAATGACCGAAACCGCCGACCAGAGAAAAGGGATGCAGAGCCGCTGTGGGTTACAGAAGGACACCTCGGAAGGCTCTCACTCAAATCTTTCGGGAGGACATTACCCAAGAAACCAAGAGCTGAAAGTACTGAAAAAAACAAAAAGAGCACTCACAAAATAGGGGACGCTGCTGGAAGTTAGGACACTACATCAGACACGAAAAGTCCGTTAGAGGAGCGCAGGGTCAAGCTGTGTGAGCCCCGCAGACGGTAGAACAGAGGAGGAAACCCTGCCGCCCCAAAAATGAGGATTAATCCCGGAGCTCTGATGCACGAATGGTAAGAATTCCAGATACGGAAAACACAGAAAATGGGGACAACTGGTGATTAAAAGAGAAGAATTCCTAGAATCAGAGGCCGTGCCTGTCCACGCCGACCAGGCCCACCCCCGAGTGTCCGCACGTCCGTGAGGACTGGACAGAGACACATACAAAGACCCTGACTCGAATCTCTGGAGATGAACCATTACTCAGCTCAGAGAAAGAAATGTTTAAAAAACAGATCATCAGCATAAATAAGGGACTTTTCTGGACTCTAAAATGCCAATAAACAGATAAATCCCTGTTAAGCTAAATATCTTCCATGCGTTAAGAGAACTTCTTGTTGTAAAGAAATAAAAACCAGATTTTTTATTGGGAGTATGTTCACATAACTCTCATAATAACTATGGAGACTGTCTGAATTCTGTACCCGAAATTTATTTTACTGCCTTTTTAAAATAAGTATTTCATGAAGATTAGATATGCCTGTTTTCTTAGATCTCAGTTAATCTTACAATTTTTTGCATAGGTTCAGACTTTATTCCCTCATTTTTCTTTCAGCACCTTAAATCCAAAAGCCCTCACAATATTAATGATGGCAGATTTAACTAATGAGGAATTCAAGGTATGAGAACTGGTGTCACTTTGGAAGACAGCCAAGCTCCTGATACCATCCACTAGCTCCTTCCGCCTTCAGGGCCGCACACTGACCTTGCGGGTCGACCTCTTTGGCCAGCTTCAGTGCGTCCGAGTTGGCCAGGTCCGTGTTGGCCGGCGTGACAGCCAGAACCAGACAGTTCTCCCGCGTGATGAACTGCATGATCATTTCTCTGATCTGATGCTCGATGTCTGCTGGCTGGTCTCCCACGGGCACCTTCGTGATTCCCGGCAGGTCGATCAGGGTGAGATTTAACACTGTGCGCAAAGGAGAAAAGGAGGCGTGTTACAGGTGCCCTCTAAAAGACGTTAACGGCGCAGCCTCCCCTGTCGCTTCGGTGGAAATTTAACTGCTGAATAGCCCCAACTCACGGCATGCAGAATAAAAAGCAAAGAATACAAAACGGCTTTGCAAGCTTTCGCTGTTTTTATGATGTGATTGTGCTGTGGCAAATGATCATTTTAACGCAGTCTCAAAGGCACTAATTTGTATGCCTGGCCATTTCCTCAGAGAGCCGTCACCCCCATGGCCGAGGGGTTACAAGCAGACACTGAACAAGACGTGCGTGTGCTGCCTGCCAACGCCAGTCTCACACAGTTTGCTGCCTGCCTTCAAGTGGTGTCAAGTTCTCAGGGTAGGGTCTGCCCTTCCCTTCAAAAGCACTGCATGTTCTTTACAGACGGGGAGCCACTTAGCCTGTGGGAAAGCTGTTGGCCATTCACGGTGCTGTGAGGTTACTGTGGGGGCTACACAGACAGTCTCATGGAGGGGGCTCCAGTCAGGAGAGCAGGAAACTGCCCCAGACTCAGTGACGTCATCCCCAACTTGGCCATCGCCCTCGGCACAAAGCAGCATTGCCACCAAGTCTTCTGGGGACATCATAATGCAGCCTATGTCATTTGGGCTCCGTTTGACAAGCAACAGAGCCAGATGGAAGATAACAGATTAAAATCCATGCTGCTAAAAATTAGGACAGACACCTTCCCCACCCCACCCCACGAATCGGTGCTCTGCGGTACAAGCAGCTGCTGAGAGGCTGGGAAACAAATCGCCGTTGGGTGCTCAGGAAGAGAGCGCAGAGGACCTGCAGGGCTGTGAGAGGGTCCAACAGGGAGGCCTCAACCGCAGCAGCACGCGCCACTGGGCTTTTGCAAAGACTGAAGGTATTTGAAATACAGAAGTTCTCATGCATGCCTCTTTGGAATTCTAAAAGTTTAAAATAAAGAACAAATTTTTTAATGACTTACTCGACGCTGATCTTTTAAAAAGTCATCTCCTCCTGCCTCCCCGTAAACAAACCTGCGAGCTCTCTGGACCGCAGTGGTGCTGGCAGTACCCAAACACCGTTCTGGAAGCCTGGTGTTTTTTGAGAGAACAAGCCATCTTCTATACAAATAGCGTGTGTTAATGAATGCAGCATAAGCACGTGAGGACCGGAATTTGGTTATTATTCCCTCACCATGTGGAGAGTAGACTCGTAAGTTGATGGGAATGGAGGAAATGCCCTTATTCATGCCGGTCACGCGATCTGTCTCAGCTTCGATCTCGTGGCGAACTTCATCGAAATCTGTAAACTTTTTTCCTTTGCAGTGAAGAAATTCAGCGTATTCTACAAAAAGACAAATTAATACAACCGAAAGTCATTCACTCTGGCAGTTAAGTAGAAGGAAACAATGTTTCTTTAATTACAAGTCACAGTAGCCAATATTGTCTCTTAACCCATCAGAATGGGAAAACACAGCTGTTACAAACAGGCGCAGTTAACACTTTAGAAATATCGAACACAGTACAAAGGCCAAGGACTCTAAATTTGCTACTGTTGAGGCAAGCAATTAAGCCCTATAAGCAGTCCTTAAACCTCTGCCCCATTAAATAACTTAGAATTTGGGTCCTCCAAACGACAAAACAAACAACAGCGCCTGATTGCCAGAGAAATTCCGTGGACGGCACACGCGGAGCCTGCCCACTGACCCTACCAGTGTGTCCTGGTCCAGTGTCAGCACCTCAGTACAATGGAGCCCTGAGTTGTACAGACACAGCTTCCGAAGGCAGGAAGATTTAGAAACTGAGTTTGGCTAATTCCTTAAAGAGAAAGAATATGGGGAATGGTTTCACTTTATGACATACTATTCCAAGTACCACATCAATTTCTGTAACTTAAAAGCTATTTCCTCAAGGAAACAAAGAGTATTACACCAAGGAAAATATCTACCTGCAATCTAAAAATAATGATTATCTGTAGGCAGAAGGAAAAACTCTAACTATACAATAAGCAGAAATTTTGTTTTTTATAAACTCCAGTAGCATCCTATGAACTGCTGTACCATCAGTTTCTATACCTTATTATCAGGTGAATGATAACTTCAAAAGAAGCTGATACTATTGGACCTCAAACATTTATTATAATGTTTACTAGGGAACAAATCTTAACAAATGTTGTAGTTTCTTGAATAACTAGTTGCAGCATTGCTCCACTGGGGCTGCTTGGGCCCAGACGCCAGCTGAGACCACCATTGGTGACCCCCACCCCCCACCGCAATTGTGCAACCTGCGCCCACGATGGCGAGGCCAATAGGCAGGCAAGCTTGGCGTCCCCTGCCTTCAAGTAACTGAGCATCAGCTTGAGGGCTAAAAATCACATCACAGAGGAAAAACGTTAACACGGGCAGCGTGCAGTAAGTGCTGAAGTTCATTTAAAGCAAAAGGAAAGGCAGAGACAGAAAAGATGGCTTCAAGCTCCAGTGCTCATAACAAAAACAAAAACTAGGTATCATCCACTGAGTGCTGGGCCCTCTTCCCGGCCTCTCGCACCACCAGGCCCCGCCCCGCTAGTCCGACCACCCCTGCGGCCGCCAGGTGGCAGCACAACCCGCCCAGCGTCACCCGGCTGCTCGGGACTGGAAGGGTCACGGGACCTCCAGAAGTGGGCCGGCGAGTTTCCGCTGTCGTTTACCAAGCCCTGTAACGGCCCAGCTGGTGGCAAGTTTGACGGACAGAGGTTTTCATTTTTGTCGCTCCTGCCTCTGTGCATGGGCACGAATGCTGCTTTCTTTGTTTCTCCGTGTAATTCTGTGCGCACTTTCTGGAAAACGGCGCGCTACGATTCCGAAGCTCATTGCCGCCGGGTGGCGGAGACACACTCGACCCCAAAACCTCCTCGGGCTTCAGAAGTCTGGGCCCACAAAGCTACTGCAGCCCCGGGCCACGTCCCCACGTCTCCGCTCACGGGGGCTGCTTTTCTTAGAATACAAATCCTCAGAAGATAGAGTCTGTATTCACCCCCTCAATGGCTAGGCCGGTACAGTGTGAACAGAAGGATTTAGAGATAAGTGAAGAATAAAAATAAGAAGCAAAATAAAGAGGAACAAAGGACTTCAAATCCCAGAAAGCAAAAAGTAATAAGTAAAAATGAGTCATAAATAATTCAGAAGGCATGGAACTGTATTTCAGATCAATAAATTCTGTGTGAAATTCGCACTTGAGGATTACGACTGTCGTTAAGTATTAATTGCATAGAACTAACAAGCTTCTCAACCAGGGACTAACGCCGAGTGTGGTCCACCCTCGTCGCCACCAGATGGCGCCTCCTTGCTTTCTCCGTAGGAACCTCTTGCCCTTCCCGGCCGTTGTGAACAATCAATGCCATTGTCAAGTCAGATTTAAACCCATTCCCGGACTCCTCCCGCAAAGGCTTGTGTCTTGGAATTGAGAGATTACAGCTGAGCAAAGACTCCTCGAACCTTTGTGTCCTTTTCACGATAGGCTCCCACAGGTCGATGTAGGGATGCCTGTGTGTTCTAACCGACGTGTGAGAAACTCCTACTTAGCAGGCGGGCGCTGATTGAGAAAGCAGGAACGGAGCAGAGGGGGGAAATAAAAGTGTCCGGTCTCACGAAGCTCACAGTCTAATAACAGGAAACAATGACCAGGGTGTGTGTGCACCAGTGCCGGGGGGAGAGGGGTCACTTCGTCTCACACTTTGGGTGAGCAAGGCTTCTCTGACCTGATAAAGTAACACTGGGGGCAAGACTCAGGAAGGAGGAGGAACCACCCCCCAGCACCGGCCGGGAGCAGACGTGCGTGCGCTGCGCGTACTGGAGGAATGGCGCGCAGGCCGCGGGGCACCCAGAGGTGGGGTAGACGTCTGGCTGTGGGACAGGCCTGGGCTGCGCAGGCGCTGTGGGCCGTTCTCAGGACTGTGATTTTTTACTCCGAGTGAGCGGCACACCATGTGAAGCGTTTGGGGCAGAGAGAAAACAGGATGCCACCTGGGTTTCGGCCAGGTAAGTGAGGCTGCTGTGTTGGGGACTGACCATGAGGAGCCAAAGGGGAAGCTGGCTTCGGGAATAATGGAGGCGGCCAATAATGGGGCTTGGACCAGGGTAGCGGCAGCGGGAGGGGTGAGTCGTGGTTGATTTCGAATGCATTTTGAGGGGAAAACCAAAAGGATTTGCTGATGGATTGAAGGTGGAGTATGGGAGAACGAGGGGAGTCCAGGATAAGTTCAAGAAGTTTGCCCTTGGCAAAGGGAAGAACTTCGAAACAGAAAAGACTAAAAGGAAGGGGCCTGAGGGACGGGGGCTGGGAATCCAGTCCATCTGCGAGGCCGCTGCCCTCCCAGCCGGTGGAGGCGGAGAAAGGGCTGCTGAGAGTGGTTAGGGCCCCACAGGCGCAGGAGACACCGTCACATTCCTCTGAGAGGCGTGTGTTTATCCTGAACAGGTTCCAGAAGAGGGCAGCCGAGTGCTTGCGGAAAGGAGCAGTGTTCCAGCAGTAGCACAAAAATACCGTGCGGGCTGGATCTGTGGTGAGGGCTGGATCCGTGAGTCGTTCATCTAGGGGCAGGTATTTGGAATCACTCAAGTCCGGCGAGTGGATGACATCACTGAGCCGGGGAGTGGGTGGGAAGGGTCAGAGCGCTGCGCCCTGGGTTGTCTGATGTTCCGGGCCAGCGCAGGGAGCTAGGGGAAGAGTGAACGGAAGTGGTCAACGAGGTAGAAGGAGAACCAAGAGAGGAGCCCAGAGCCAAGGGGGAGTGCCATCGAGGAAGGGGACCTTCCGCTGCATCCAGTGCAGCCAACGCGGCGGGGAAGAGAACTAAGAATGGACCACGTAATTGGACAGCAGGGGAGGGGGTGTCCTTTGGGAGGTGGACAAGAGCTGTCACCACGGAGTGGGGTGGGGGACAGTCTGTGTGGAATAGACAGAAAGACCGGGAGGAGAGCGAGTAGAGACTGATTATAGACAATTCTTTGGAGAAATGTTGCTGTAAAGGAAAGAAGTGGGGGCGGACCCTTTCCCACAGCCCTGGCCCTGCGCTCCTCTCCCACCTGGCTGGTCCTGAGTTGTGTTCTTGTACAACGAATCGGCAATCTGGTAAGAAGAACGTTTCTCTGAGTTCTGTGAGATGCTGTAGCAAATTCATGGGCACGCCTGGCTCACAGCCAGTCGGTCAGAAATACAGGTGACCGGCTGGACCTGCAATGGGCATTCTGCGTGGGAGGGGGTCCACTGGAACCTGTGGTTTATAGCCAGTCTGTTGATGCCTGGGCTTGGGACTGCTGGTGAAACTGGGGTGGCGGAGGACAGGGATAGTCTCACAGGACTGAGCCATCAACCTGTGGGATCTCACGCTACCTCTGGGCAGATGGTGTCCGGATGGAGTTGAACTGGAGGACAACCAGCTGCTGTTAAACAACATCTTGTTGGAAGGGGACGACACCCCAGCCACCACCATAGTGAAATTGGGCCCCAGCACCCAAAGAGACAGGAGCGAGAAAATCCTTTTCTATGGGTCCCAAAGAGCCTCCTGGGAAAGAATTCATCTCAGAGCAGGATGAACTAGCTGATCAATAGGTAAGACTTTTCGAGAGGTAGTAAAGGGGAGTCTTCTGAAACTTTTATACTGCGGTGAACTAACACGTCTGAAGGTCTAACAAATCCCACCTGTGGCTCTGAGAGGCGCCCTCCCTCATAGAAAGGTACAGTTGTCAACAGTCCAGCTCACCTGGCGTCCCTTTCATCCCAGGTACTGGGGTGATGGGCCCGTGAAATGATTTCTTTCTCAAACAACTCGGGCTTCCTCCCAGCATCAGTCTGCAGAGTGATTCAATTTCTGAGGCCCGAGGCCCTAGCAAGGATATAGGCGGTGCACACATAAGCACCGACACTGGCCCGTGAAATTACACCCTGTGTCACTACAAACCTGTCTTGCTGAAATTCTCATATGTTTTCAGTTTCACAAAATGAGACTCCTAGTTCTGCTGGCTCCCCAGTGATAAAAAACGGCCCCCGTCCGCCCCACCCCACACGTGGCCCAGCTGGTTGGGCATCCTTCCGAGGGGAAAGGTCACCAGTTGGATTCCCAGGCGTGGCGAGTACCTGGGCTGCAGGTTCCATCTCCAGTCTGGGCGCATACGAGAAGCAACCAATCAATGTTTCTCTTCTCTTTCTCCGTCCCTTCTCCTCTCTCTAAAACTTAAACATCTTTAAATGTTTTTCGAAAACCTACATTCGAAGCAAAGATTATGATACTTTTTTATACATCCAAGAATAATCTTTTGCGGGGAGAGGGTATTAGAAATTCAGAGCGATCACTCTCTTTTATTT